CCTAACCTGTTCTTCCTCCCACATATCCCCTCCTCCCACCTCAAGCCGCACCTCCATCTCCTACCGACCAACCTCATCCCGCCCCCTTGACCTGTCCGTCCTCCCTGGACTGACCTATCCCCTTCCTAACTCCCCACCTACACTCACCTTTACTGGCCCCATCCCCGCCTCTTCGACCTGTTTGTTTCCTCTCCACCTATCCTCTCCTCTATCCATCTCCCACTCTCTCCCTATTTATTTCAGAACGCCCTTCCCCTCCCCCTTTTCTGATGAAGGGTCTAGGCCCGAAACGTCAGCCTCTCTGCTCCTATGATGCTGCTTGGCCTGCTGTGCTCATCCAGCCCTGCACCTTGTTGTCTCGGATTCTCCAGCATCTGCAGTTCCTACTATCCCTGCCATCATCAATGATTTGTACACATATAATCACAACTAAGTCATAAGAATCCGTGGTATTAGAGATAGTATATTCGTATGTATAGAGAATTGATTAATGGGCAGGAAATGGTGAATGGGGATAAGAAATTCTTTTTCAAGTTTGTGATCTGTAACCTGTGGAGTGCCACAAAGATCAGTACGGGGACCGCAACTTCTTACAATCTAATATTAATGACTTGGAAGTGTACAGTAACCAATTTGCCAGCGATACAAAAATAGGTGGAATAGCAAGTTGCGAGGGGGATAAAAACTGTTTACAGAAAGATATTGATAGGTTTAAGAAAGTTGGCAAATGCAGTAGTTGTTTATTTTTGAAGGGAGAACAAAAGAACAGTATTATTTAAATGGAGAAAAACTGCAGAAAGCTGGAACACAAAAGAACTTGGGGGTACATATGCATAAAACACTGAAAGCTAGCATATCAGTACAGCAGGTAATCAGGAAGGCTAATGAAATGCTGGCCCTTATTTTAAGGAATTGGGAGTATAAGAGTAGGGAAGTCTTACTGCAACTGTGCAAGGAACTGCCGAGACTGCATCTGGAGTACTATGAGCAGTTTTGGTCCCCTTATTTAAGGAATGATATTATTTCATTGCAGGCAGTTTAGATAAGCCTCACTAAGATACTCCCTGGTATGGAGGGATTGTATTATATGCAAAGGTTAAACAGGTTGGGATTCTATTCATTGGAATTTAGAAGAATGAGAAGTGACTTCATTTGAAACATATAGGATTCTTAAGGGACTTGACAGGGTAAATGCTGAGAGGATTCTTCCCCTCTTGAGAAAGTCTCGGACCAGAGGGCATGGGCTCAAAATAAAGGAGCAGCAATTTAAAACTGAGATGAGGAGAGATTTCTTCTAAGGACTTAAGTTTTTTGGAACTCCTTGCCTGCAGAAAGCTGCAGGGCAGAGTCCTTGTGTATATTTAATCAGTCGGGAATGATGGGTTTGGGGAAAGGGCAGGAAAGTGGATGCAAGGAATATCAGATCAGCCATGAACCTATTGAATGACAAAGCAAGGTCAAGGGACCGAATTCTTACTTCTGTTTCTTTCTTTTAGTCTTAAATCTGTCCGCATCCGTACCCTGTTTAGAATTTATACCCTTTATCTTCTCAATCCCCTTATCAAAAATGTATCGCTTCATACTTTTCAGTCACTCGTCCACAATGCTTCTAAATCTTGTGTCATCTGTGCCCTCTACCCAAAGTCAAAGTTATTGATACAGATCTAGAAAAGCAGTGATTCTAGTACTCCTGAAAAACCTCAGTTTACGTCCAGTCTGAAAAGCAACTATCACTCAGTTATTTCATACCTACACTACCATTACCCCTCTTAATTAATGTGCATTAACTTTGCTGATATGCCTGTTCTGTGGCACTTATTTGGAATTCTTTGGGAAGTCGATACATAGTACATCTACCACATTACCGTCAAAGATCTTAACCAACTTAGTTAAAACAGAATTTCCTTTTAAAAAATTAATTCTACCTTTCCTTATTTGATTTCTCTTTGTCAAAATGACTTAGTTTTGTCTTGAATTATTGTTTCAAAAGGTTTTCCCACCACTAAGGTTAAGCTGATTGGCCTGCACTTCCCAACTATACGGCCGTTCTGAAACATTACAGTTTGATGGTTTTGCAATTCACATTGCTCTCTCTTTTTGGTGGGGTCAAACAAAATTAATAAGTTACCATGGGTAATTGTACTTTTCCCTTCCTTCATTCCCACCCCAAATATCAGGCACTGCAACACAAAAATTGTATTTGAAAGACATCTTAAATACACAAATTACAACTTTCACGTTTTTAAATTCATTTCCTGTTTTTCTACTGTGAAGCTTTTCCATACATTATGTACATATTTATAAAAATAGCCTTATGTAATAATTAGTCACCTGATCACAGTAGCCATTTGTGGCCTTTTTCACTGAGTGAGCATAAAAGTCTACATATAGCACGGTGGCTCCATAAACAGATGGCAGCAAGTAAATTTGAAACAGGATTCCAGAAATCCTGAGTTTGAGAGAACATCCATTCAGAGAGTGCAATTCTGTCCCAGTTATATTACAATTGGGTGAAAGAGTTCAATTACTATCAATAAGAGATTCTAACTTACAAAATGTTATCCTAAATGGGATCAATTCTATGTATTGAGCCTCTTTTGTTTTCCCATTTCCATTTAAATAAAAAGAATGATGCAGTAGAAGTACCAATTCTTCATACTGATCCAACTAATATAATTGGTTGACCAAGAGGAATGGTTAACAGTCGTCCCTCTTCAGAAAAGACGTACTGTTAATGAAAAGTGACTCATTCAAAATCTTCAACACTTACACAATAAATATTAAAAAAAAATTACAATTTGAAAGCTTTTCCAATGTTAGCTCTAGAAGTCCATTGCTCGGGTTAATGGAAGCACCTCTGTGTTAAACCTTTACAATGACATGATTAGAACTCCCAGTGACTCCAGATTCCCCCAATTAAACTGATGCCTCAAAGTGATGTTTTTAAATTAAGCCTGAAATACAGATTCATTATCACAACAAAATCACATCCACAAACTGCAGTAACTATTCTGCCAAATTGAGCCATTTGACTATGTGATAATTCTTCTTTCCAACTCTAAGCAATGATAGCCCATTTGTCAGAATATGCTGTCCCAAAATTAGCACTTGTTCTGGTTTTGTCACTCGTATGTGATTAATCCAAATTCCACCATCCGTGATCATCTGGTACCTAGAATTGGGGAAGAAAAAAAATATCTTTACTGTTTGCATTTTCTTCAGAATCACTTTTTAAACAACCAGTCTCTTCCCAATTTACATCAGTTACTTAGGGGGGAAGCCATTAGCTAAATTCACAGCTGGCCCAAAGACAGGTATGAAAGTATGCTGTGAAGAAGACATAAGGAGTTCGCAGATAGATAAATAAGTTGGTTGAATGGGCAAAAATATTCTGGCGAACAGAGTATAAGTGGCAAAATGTGAAGTTCACTTTGGCGGAAAGAATGAAAAAGCAGATCATTTCTTAAATGGAGAGCAACTGTGGAATTCCAAGGTGTAGACGTATTGGGTGTTCTAGTGTATGAGTCACAAAAGGTTAGTATACAGATACAGTACTTGAGCAAGAAGGCTAATGGGATGCCATCCTGTATTACAAGAGGAACCAAGCATAAAAGTAAGGATGTTACACTTTAGTCATTGAGGGTATTTTTAAGATTACGTCTCCAATGCTGTGTGCAGTTTTAGTCTCCTTTTAAGAAACTTCATAAATATGCTGGAGGCAGTTCAGAGATTTATTACTTTGATACCTGGAATGAATGGCTTCTTTTCTGAGAATAAGTTGGACAATTTTGGCTGGTTTCCACTGGAGTTTGGAAGAATGAAAGGTAGTTTGATTCAAATATACAAGGTTCTGAATAGTCTTGACAAGGTGGGTACAGAAAGGATGTTTTGCCTTGCAAGTGAGTCCAGAGCCAGTTGGCATTGTTTTAAAATTACGACTCACTCTTTTAGGACAGAAGTGAAGCGAATTTTTTTTTGTCTCAGAGGTTTGGACCTCTGAAGACAGTGGAGACAAGGTCATTAAATATTTATAAAACGGAGCTAGATAGATTCTTGATGGATAGGGGAATCAAAGGTATTGGGGGTAGATGAGAATGTGGAATTTAAAACACAAACAGATGAGGCATTTTCTTATTAAATGATGGAGTAAGTTTGAGGGACCAGAATTGTCTGCTTCTGCTCAAATTTCATACGTTTGTATTTCAAATTGCAACCAAGAAAACAGTATTTAACAAAATGGAGAGAACAATGGCAGTTTGAAGACCAATTGACTACAGAGAAAGGTGGCTAGTGATATTAGCTGCTCTCGACTAAATAGATAATGTAGTGAGAATTCAGCACTCAACCACAAGATTAACTTGAGAGGATTTGAATGACATCCAGTTATCAGGGTCTGAACCCAGCTCAAAATCTTTCCCAATTTTGAGGTTTCTGATAAGTCAGGTGACAGGTATATGGACTTTGGAAACAGAATGGCAAAACATTGCTGATACCATTTTGCTAGGGGATAAACATTGCTGTCTTCTCTATACATGTATTTGAAAATGTAAATCCAAAGTAGCTTCACTGCTGTAAAATTCTACGTAACTGCTAAAGTCCACTGTGTACAGCACCGCGAAGTTTATAAAGAATAAACAAGTAAATCATAAAGGATTGGTGTGCTGACATCATTAATGAGATTCCTTCTCCGTTCCTGACTATCAAAACCTTTCATTGATTCACAATTAACAGTTCTTCACAAGTGACATACCCTCTTGGGCCATCTGGAATAGCACTAGCTTTACGACAAAGGTCCAGCACTGTTGTGCCTGGCTCAAGGAGATTCTCAGAGAACGGTGCCTCTTTAAACAATTCTTGCAGTTCTTCATCTGACATAGTCTCTAGGGCATCCATACTACTATGGTAGAGTGCACTTGTACATCTAAAGAGAAAATGCAAAAGTACTGAACAGTGGCAACAATAAACTGTACACTAACATTTGTTTATTGAGTTGGATAGCACAGAGAAGGTATATTTGATGGATTGGTAGCTACATGACTCATAGGAAAATGTCTCTAATTCTGCTCATTTATCATCTGGTTCAATCAGGCTCTGTTTCTCAGAGATAAAGCCCATGTCCACATATTCACAACTCCAGACTGGAGCAAGATTCGAACACGCGACTTTCTGATTCGGAGATGACATGGCTACTAAGAATCAAGCTGGCACTTAAAAGAAATAAATGAGTGACATTATCACTGAGTTACTTAAACGAGATAGGAAAAGCTGTGAGATGAATACTGCCAGGACTGATTTTAGTGGCATATAAACCTAAAAGAGAAAGCCCCTTGCTAACACATGAAGGATCGTCAAGAGTACAAACTCAGAAGTGTAATACTCACTATAGAAAATACAAAGAACAGGTTTGTACAGATATGGTTGGAATTTGAGGCTTCGCTGACATTGATTAGGTGTGTCGTGTTTGTCCTAAAAATAAATTCACTGCTCCTCTCCCTCTCTCTCATTTTCAAGACTAGTCTAAAAACCACTTCTTTGATCAAGTTTTGGCCACTCTTTCAAATACCACATTGACTATATATAACCAGTAAAACTCTCTCCATCAGGCTATAAACAGTTGAAATTGTACTACTGTTAATTTTGGTTGTGTAACGTTAAAGCACAAAGAAATTAGATAAATGTTACTGGGTTATAGTACTATAATACTGCAATTATTTTGAGTTACTGTTAGAGTTAAAAACAGATACTGCTTGCTGTCCAACAAATTACATTTGTCCTTTGTTTTATTAAACTCACTCATCTTCTAGGAGGCGGCTTCCATGGACACTACATAGATCAACACTCATAGGGAGATGGGGAGTTGTCAGTGTTGGACTGGGGTGAACAATGTCAAAAATCACACAACGCCAGGTTATTGTCCAACAGGTTTACTTGAAAACACAAGCTTTCAGAGCGAGCCCAATGAGATAACTAACGAACCGGGACAGTTGACCGAGAGAGATCTGTGGTGGAGCAGCCAAAGTGGACCCCTCCAGAGGGCCGTTGACCTGGGCTTGACAAGTATGCTCAAGGCGTCAGGGAATGAGTGAATACCTGATTCATCAGCCACACTCAAGGTAGAAAAAAACATCACCCAAGCACGAGGCAACACCATCCATGCTCTCAAGACCAATTGCAACATTGTCATCAAACCAGCAGACAAAGGAGGAGCCATCGTCACACAGAATAGCACGGACTATTGCCAGGAAGTATACAGTCAACTGAACAACCAGGAACACTACAGACAACTACCTGCTGATCCGATCAAAGAACACACCTGTCAACTCAACAAACTGATCAAGACTTTTGATCCGGTCCTTCAGAGTACCCTCCACACTCTCATCTCGCGTATTTCTTGTGTAGGGGAATTCCACTGCCTTCTGCAGATACACAAAGCCAACACACCTGGACATCCCATTGTAATAGGGAATGGGACCCTGTGAGAGAACCTCTCTGGCTAGGTCAAGAGTATCTTGAAACGCATTGTACAGGGAACCCCCAGCTTATGTCGCGACACTACAGATTTCTTACAGAAACTCAGCACCAACGGACCAGTTGAACAAGGAACATTCCTCGTCACAATGGACATTTTGGCACTCTACACCAACATCCTCCACAACGATGGCATCGCTGCAACAGCCTCAATACGTCAATTTCCAGATGCCATCCTACAACTCATCCTCGCCCACAACGTCTTCACCTTCGACAACCAGTTCTTCATCCAGGCACACGGAACAGCCGTGGGGACCAGAGTTATACCCCAATATGCCAAATTTTCATGCATAAGTTCGAACAAGATTTCTTTGCTGCACAGGACCTCTGACCAACGCTAGACACTGGATACACTGACAATACTTTCTTCCTTTGGACTCATGGCACGGAATCACTGAAACAACTACATAGCAATATCAACAAGTTTCATCCCACCATCAGACCTACCATGGACTACTTCTTTAGAATCAATCTTATTCTTGGACAGAAACCTCAATACTTCAGCCTACAGATAACCTCACGATGCCGCACTTCTCTAGCATCCACCCTAAACATATGAAAACAGCCAGCACCTATGGACAAGCCCTACACGTACACATGATCTGCTCAGATGAGGAGGAACGCAACGGACACCTGAAGGTGTTGAAGGACACCCTCATAAGAACAGAATGTGATGTTCAACTCATTGATCGCCAGTTCTGACGCGTCACACCTCCTCAGAAGTCAGACACAGGATACGACCAATAGCGTTCGCTTCGTCGTCCAGTATCTCCCTGGAGTGGAGAAACTACACCATGTTCTTCACAGCCTTCAACACATTATCAATGACGATAAGCACCTCGTCAAGATCTTCCCCACGCCTCCATTTCTCGCCTTTAAACAATGAACCAAACCTCAAACAGACTATTGTTCACAACAAACAACCCAGCCTTCAGGACAACATCAACCATAATACCATGCAACCCTGCCATGGCAAACTCTGCAAGACATGTCAGAGAATCAACATGGATACTACTGTCACACTTGGAAAACCACCCACCACGAGCACAGTAGAAACTCACGTGTCTCGGCCAACGTTGTCTATCTCATACGCTGCAGGCAAGGATTATTGGCATGACCATGCAGACGCTACGACAACAGATGAATGGACACCGTGCGACCATCGCCAGACAGGGATATACCCTCCCAATGGGGGAATACCTCAACGGCAAGGACATTTGGCCTTGGAACTTCAGATAAACGTCCTCCAAGGCGGACTTTGGGTACACAAGAACATACAGTCGCCGAGCAGAGGCTCATAGCCATGTTCCGTAATGGCCTGAACCATAATCTTGGGTTCATGTCACACTACAGGTGACCCCACCACATTATACACACTCTCTCCCCCCTCTCACCACCGTGCGCGTGCTCGCTCTCTCCCTGTCTCCCCCAACCCCCACCCCCCCCCCCAGGCGGGCGCTCTCTCTCTCTTCCCCCTCCCCCCCCGCCGCACGCGCGCTGTCTCTCTCTCCCCCCCCCCCACTACAGCCCACGCGCGCTCTCCCCCCAACCGCCGTGCGCGCGCACTCTCTCCCCTCTCCCACCGCCGCACGCGTGTTCTCTCTACCCCCCCACCTCCGTGCGCGCATTCTGTGTGTGTCTCTCTCTCACGCCCACCACTCCCCTCGACACACAGAGACACACAGAGACACACACAGACACACAGAGACACACAGAGACACACAGAGACACACACAGACACACACAGACACACACAGACACACA